AAATTCAATGTGGTGATCTAAATTAGAAGGTCATGAATAGCAAACCAATCCCAATTGGATATACGAAAGACTTTTTTGAATATGTATTTTAATTTGTCTATAGTAAAGTCTTCGTTTGTGTCTCCGTCTCTCTTCTTTAATTTCAAACGGTCCAACACAATCCACAAAATACTTTCAAATTTCAATCTTGGGGATCATCAAAATTGAACGATCAATAATTCAAAAAATAAAATAGAGGGAAAAGAAAAATAAAAGTGAGAATTATTTTGCTCAAACACGTAATTATGATCACTAAAATCCAGTGTAATCATGATTTATACAGTTCTGTTAATACAATAAAGAACTAAATGATCGATCTCATTAAATAAATTATTATACGTCGGTTACTGTTAACTTATAATACAACTACAAAATAATAAATTTTACGTGCGGAGTAAAATTTGAGCTCCCAACTAACAGAGCATTATCCATTGTATTTAAATACAAAATGAGGTGACTTTTAATTGTTTATAAGTATAAATATATAAATATTTTTTTATATATTTTTGTAATTGAATTTAGATATACATATATATGAGAGAATAGATAGTCAATATGTAGAAATTATATTATATATATATATATATAAGAGATTGATATGAATAGTTTTCAAGAAAGAAAATGAATATGAATGGATTAAGATAGAAATGAAAGTTTAACTAAATGACTGCACTTGAATTGACAAAATGCAAACCAGTTGGCCTCACCAAATGTTCAAGCAAGCATCTTAGAAAGTAGGTTTAACATCCCAATATATATATATATATATATATATATATATAGAATATTAAAGTTATATATATATATATATGTATAGGTGGCTAAGGTGACGATGAATGATGGGCACTTTTATGTTTTTACCCTATAAAAAAAGAGAAACAATTGGAATCATTTGATCAAAATTATATGGCTGTCATGACTTACCCATTTGTCGGTCTCAAATGGGTTTGAAATTAAGAGAAGAAAATCCATTCGAACAACATAAGGTGAAGTGAAGAAATTCATAATCCGGACAATCCAAATAACATGTCGAAAACCAAATCGAACATGACTACTTGGTCTTGTTTACATAAGCATTATTCGGAAATCGTTAGTGACAACAACAAAAATATATATATACATACATATACGATTTAAATAAATTATTCGTATAAGAAAAAACTGATAACCAACTTAAAGTTTAAGAATTATATGATTATAACTTCGCCCACCCTAACACAACTCCTATCAGGGAAGTCTCGTAATTTTTACGTGATAAGTCGTCACATTACGAGGGTTTTTACAATCCACGATTCTCGATGTTCTGTACTAATATTTCATAAGTTTTTTTGTTGACAAAAAATAAATTTTTTTTTTTTTTGCCGTAGAAAAATTTAGATTAAAATATTAAAAAATTATGTTTATTTTATTTATATTTATTAAAAATTAATTAAATAATAATTAGATTAGAGATTAATATAGTGTGAAAGTATTCATTAATTGCTTTAAACCATCACGGAAGGTTTGGTTTCGTTAGGTAGCATTAGCCGCGGGCATGACTCTACATGATCTAATTATGTATTTTTAATCATGATTAATTAATGGATTAATTAATTAATTAATTAAGTGATTGGTTGAATAAATGGAGATTTGTTTGTGTGTGTACACCAAATTCCTACGTCATGTGAAGTTAGCCACGTGGGTAACATCGAGATGGTCAACTTAAATCTCAGTCAGCTCTGTCTTTTTCTTCAATGTTGATTTTAGTTTTTCTGATTTGTTTGAAAATCTTTGGTAGTTTAATCTCATGGCCTATTGACATTTGACACCCTTTTCTTGGCTCTTTCCTTTGCCTCCACACTATTATATATATATATATATATACACACGCACACACATATATATTTACTTACACACTCAATAATTCACCCACTTTTTTTTATTTCATTTCCTCATCATACTCTCTCTCTCTCTGTCTCTCTCTCTCTCTCTCTATATATATATATGTGTGTGTGTGTGTGTGTGAAATACAAAAA